TCTAAATTTAAAAGATTACATTTCAACGAATCTCTACTAATACATTGAAACAAATATTCAATCTCACCTGACTAGTTAATAGTTAAGTACTGCAGTGAGTATTCATGTCAGTGTCCTATTAGTAAATCTGTAGAGAAAAATTTGTCAGAATGCACAAATAGTATTCATACATACAGTAGCGAACAAAAGTCTCTACCCCATCGAATCTGAGCTATTATATATGCTGGAGATCTAAAAGTTAGTGAAAACATACTTCATCATAAATGTAGATCAGTGGCAAAATCACAACTATACAATTACTTTAGTATAATGGGAATGATGATGAATAGTATCTATTTTTTGCTTCTAGTTTTCTAACCTGAAAAAAAGCTATTTCGTGCAGCGCCGTTTATAGTCTTTCTTTATCCAAAAGATGAGTTCATTGACTGAAAGATTGAAATCTTTGAATGTCTCTGAATTCTTTCAATAAATACGATGATCATTGGTATGTTATTTCCCATTAGTACAAGATCCTTTTCCGAAACTTGTAGGCGATAATGTTTAACGTTTGGCAAAGCTTCTCTAGAAATTGAAGCTCACTTCATTGAACTAATGCTGAGTTATAGTTTTCAAAGAACGGCAGATAGTTTTCTTCAGAGCAACGATCACAGTAAATTGACAATGATTCAGTAACATCTATCATAAGTCTCAGTGTTACATACACAATCAAGGTGTGACTGTGTCTCTAATCTATATTCATGGTGTAGGATGCGCGCACACAAACTTTTAAACCACCGACACGTATGTCAGTTGAAATGCGATGGGGTGAAGACTTTTATTCACTACTATATAAAATTGCTCGAATAATTGAGCGGGTAATTTGAGTATTCATGCTGGTAAGCCGTACCGACATTTTACTAACTATTTAAATTAAAAAAAAAGACTTTTTCGAAGCACTAGTTACTCTTAATAACACAAAGTAGTTTTCATTTTTATTTTAGAGAATGAGTAAACATTTGGTGCCGGAATGTTTTATTTGATATTTGAAGTTTATTAAAACTTCTGTTAGAATGTGAAAAAAAAAATGCTAAAACATTTAATTTTTTTTTAAATATATTTCACAAACATCGAAGACTTTGATCCTATTTCAAGATATTGTGAAGAATTTATTTTCTTTCGTAGGTTTTGTGTTTTGGAACTTGTCAAACTACTTTTACAGAAACTTCTTTACCTACGAGCGTTTTTTCCGATGTAACAATTTTACCATTCTGGGATGATCTTTATATTTATTCGAGCACATCACAAGGAATCTATTATGGAACTGAAGGCAATGCTCCGAATCGTACATTAATATTTGAATATTATATGAGTCATTACCTTCAATCTACTCAATATTATCAGTTTCAAGTCAAATTCTTCGAGGCTACACCTGGAATTGTTCAATTCAAATATTTCTATGCAAGTGATGGAGGCATTACTGCTACTGTTGGTGTACAAAGTAAGGAGTAAAAAATTTTTGTTTTGTATTTATAATTAAATTATGTTCATTTGTTTTTTTTAGAATCCAGTAGTGGTCCATATATTCAACATTCCTATCATCAAGCTAATTCCGTACAATCGAATATGATTCTCACTTTTAAT